AAAAGACATTACTTATTTCTGTAATGGTCCTTAGAAAAAAAAGATACGACTCAAATAGAAGACTGAAATGGAATGGAAATTTTAATTTTAGAAAATTAGGGTTCTTTCAATACCTGGGAGTTGATGTAAAAGCTGCGGCTTCTACCTGAGATTTAACCTGGGGTTAGAGAAGGAATGTTTGACAGAACATAGAGGAAAACATCCAGCTTAGCCAATAAACTAATTTTTCATGCAATTAAAAGCCTAAAACAGGGGCCAGCCAGGTGGCATAGTGGTTAGGTTTGCACACTCCACTTTGGTGGCCCAGGGTTTGCAAGTTCAGATCCCCGTCACAGACTCAGTACTGCTCATCAAGTCATGCTGTGGCAGTGTCCCACATGAAACAGAGCAAGATTGGCACAGATGTTAGCTCAGCAACAAGCCTCCTCAAGCACAAAGAGGAAGATTAGCAAGAGATCTTAGCTCAGGGCCAATCTTCCTCACACACACACACATAAAGCCTAAAACAGGAGAATATTGCTCCCTTGGTCACCATGAAGAAGAAGAAAATTATGCAAAAGAGTGGGATTGAGGCAGTGAAGGAAATGTCAGATGTATCTTTTAAATAAGAAATACCTCTTCTTAAAACTATCTATCTATTCCATGAGAGGACTGGAAATAAATTTCAACTTCACTGTTTTATCCCTGTGCTTGAAATAGAGCCTGGACATAGGGCTGCTCAGTAACCATATGAGGAATAAATAAATGGATTATTGGAAATCATTCTTGAAAGAACATATATTCATTTATGTATTTATTCAATAAATAACTGTTGAAAAACTACTAAGTATCATGACTTATGACAGGGGCTAGGCACACAGCAGTGAGAAAAATGAACAGATAAATCACAGCCCTCATATGGCTAACAGTCTGGTTACAGAAAATAGAATAAATGAAGGAGAAAATAGTCAGATAATGCTTAGTGCTATGGAGAAAAGATACATCAAAGAAAACAGATGGATGGGTTGCCATGGAAGGTCTCTGCAATTTTAAAGAGGTGGTTAGAGAAGGTCTCACTGGGAAATAAAGGGCTTTTGAATAAATTTTTTAATGAGGTAAGGGTATGAGGCATGTAGATATTGAGAAACAATGTTATAGGTAGAAGGAAGAGCAGGTGCAAAGGTCCTGAAGCAGGAACGTGCCTGATGTACTTCAGACATAGCAAGGTGGTTAGTGTGGCTGGACCAGAATAAGGCAGAGAGAGACTATTAAGTGAAGAGCTCAGATAGGGCAAGGAGGCCAGGTCTTATTGGGCCTTATAAACCATAGTTAGAACTTTAGCTTTTATTCTAGGTAAGGAGGAAACAGACTGATTTTTGAGCAGAGGAGTGGGAGGATATGACATGTTTTAAATGAATCCTTTCTGGCTACTGTGTTGAGAATATACTAGTCGGGGGGAAAGGCAGATGTCAGGGGAGGAGACTATTACAGATTTCCAAATCAGAGATGATGGCGGCCAAAACAGGCAAAATCCCACAAAGTAAGTTACCTAGAGAACTTGCAGAGAAAATGCACGTGTGTTTTTCGCTAATAATTTTGCAGTTGAAAATTTTAGAGCAGAGACATTTGAATACTTTTCTTTTTAATGCTATTTCATAAAATTAAAATTCACCTTGATCTTCCCACTATGCAATGTTCTTTCTTCTTATAGATAGAATATCTAGATATCTAAATGTTCTATACGACTACAGGTGGTTTAAGTTACTCATACCTAAAATTCAGAACTGTACGACTCACTCCTTTATTGTCTTCTAAAATAACCCTGAGAAATATACAATTTAAGCCCCTAGTAATCATAAAATGTTGAATAAACTATAAGATCCTTATCGAAAACGATTTGTTTTCAGGGCAGAGTCATCAAGAATTACCAAGGTCATGGGGAGGAAGCATGAGAGAGACAGCATCCAAAACAGAAGAGGGATTCTGAGTCTTAACACTAAGTCTACCCATTTTGATTCTGAACTGGCCGCAATGATTTTCCTTCACAAAATAAAATGGAGAAACACCAAACAGCAGTGATAGTTGCGACAAAAATCACATTGCTATAAACATCTGCTATAAATATTTATGCACAGTCTAAGAGAAAGCACTGCATATTGGAAACAGCAAAGTACACAGGCGGAACCGTACAGGCCTACTTACAAATTCCTAGCCTCATCACTTTCTGCAGAGGTTTGAACCAAATGCTTCCTTCAGTTTTGGAGTTTCAAGTTTTTTTCCTCTCTAATATAGCAGTGATATTATCTTCCTCGGGCCAGTATTGTATGAGGATTCAATAAAAAATAAATAATGCCTATAAAGAGGACTTACACAGCTCCTAGCATGTGGTATTTGTTTATTCATATTACCTTGCTCTCTGTAAAACAACAACAAAACAACCAAAAAAATAATAATCGTAGGTAGGTAGAACTACCGAAGCAGAAAAGGGCACTGTTCTACTCCCCAAACCAAATCAGGCAGGAACTGAAAGAATCTATGGCAGAAAGAGCAATAAGAAATGCAGACTCGAGGCTCTGTTAGACTATAAAGAGATTCTAGTTAACCTAATTATGATAAAGGGACCTTAATTGGCCTAGGGGAAACTCCTTGTGATAAAATTGTGAGAACACACAGATTTGTGCTGAATGCCTCTCAGAGAATGGAACCTGAGGGCATATTCAGACAATTGACAGTATTATAATTGATTCTGATAGAAACTTTAATATAATCACAGCAGAGAAAAAAATTAGACCATTAGCATGCATGTCATGATTGTTATTATATATTTGCATATTCTCTCTTGGTGCAATAAGACAGGAGTTTTAAGTAGTACATATATAAATTTTTATATTAGTCATTTATTAACTCTTAGGTTTAAGTATTATTCATAATTTGTAAATTTTTCTAAACCAATAGTATCCTGGCATTGATTTGAACTTTCTCACAAAATGATTGTCATTTGCATTCAATTCCCCCTGTGTCCCAGCTGTACTGTCCCAAGGAATATTCCTGTACCATAATCTCCTGGAGGTGACATTACAAGCAAGGTGTGTGGAAGTTTTTCTGTGCTCTACTTGAGAACTGTCATACACCTCCAATGCTATGTAAAATGAAGTGACTGTTACAAACAGGACTCTTCAAATATAAATGCATTTGATGTGGCCCAATTCTCAGTTTTTCCCTTGCCATAACAGGGTTAATGTTTTGAAAAAATATTTTTTTTAAAAAAGAAAACTGCAAAAATTGCTGCTACATCAAAAAACAACTTGATTACTATTAAAATTATATTTAACAGAGTTGCCATACACAAGCTTCTATTTTTCGGTTGGCTATACACAGATGTGGATCTAAAGGAGGAAGTGCGTGACTTTCAGCTTCTCTTGATAATTTTATGTTGATTACAAATTATGTAGATGGAAGGAATGTGAAATAAAGTGTAATGAAAGCCAAGAAAAGACAGGGATGGCATAGTTCAATGGCTGAGAAAACCAATTTTGGAATCAGAGAGACGTGTTCAAATCAGAGTTCTGCAACTTAGCAGTGTGACCTTGGGCAATTTATTTAACTTCTCTAAATTCGTATCCTCATCTTAAAAGGATGCTTAATACTCCTATATCACTAGGTTAATATGAAAATTAAGTAAGAAAATATATAAAAGCTCTTGTCACAGTGTCTGAACATAATAATCACTCAAATATTATATTTGATCAACTATGTTATTACCTTTCTTTTTTTTTTTTTTTTTTTGAGGAAGATTAGCCCTGAGCTAACCACTGTCAATCTTCCTCTTTTTGCTGAGGAAGACTGGCCCTGAGCTAACATCCATGCCCATCTTCCTCTAGTTTATAAGTGGGACACCCACCACAGCATGACGTGCCAAGCGGTGCCATGTCCGCACCCGGATCCGAACCTGTGAACTCCAGGCCCCCAAGGGCGGAAGGTGAAAACTTAACCGCTGCGTGACCAGGCTGGCCCCCACCTTTCTTTATAATAATAATAAGCACGCAAGTATTATTACTTATTTGTTGTGGTTGTTATTGTTACCCTAATTATTAAGAAAAGAAATAAAACAATTGATGTGCTATGTTCAATCCTCACTCTTGTCTAGTTTCAACTCACTTTCCCTCCAGCCCACTCCTTCTCTAAGAATGATAGATTGGAAAATTTTTCCGCATTGTGCTAAAAGATCGAGTGTAAGGCTGAGCTGAACAGAGAAAAGCAGTTGCCAACTCACTCTCGGAACAATATCCCGCCCCAAGGATGGATAAGTGAGTGATACAGACATGGGTCAAAGCCTTGTGGAGAAGACCCACCTACAGATTTCTGATTATTGTTAATAATTTACAGTTCACTTGCTCCTGCTTCTTTTTTTGGGGGAAAAAAGGTCTTTTATTGACACAAAATGTTAGGTGCGGAGTTGGTTAGGATATAAGTGATTAAGTTTTCTTTTGTCTACGGTCCTACGTCTCCATCCCCATACACCTGATGAGTGAAAATGTTTCTGGGGGTACAAAACCTTTTTTGGAAAGAATAGTGCTCTTTGTTCTAATTCCTAAGCCTCCGTTTGAAAATTCGACTGCAATTCGCCTTAAAGAGCATAGAACGTTCCTTTGGGGTGGAATCGTGGGAGAATCATAAGGATCCTGCCACATTCAAGGCTTTCCTGGACAGCCGTGAGCAGACCCAGATACTCACTTTTTAAACCCATATTAAGAAAGAGTAAGGGGGTGGCAACATGGAAGGAGCCGAGAGCAGGAGATGGAAGTGAGAGGCTGCGGGGCTCCGGGGCTCCAGGGGAACCCTATTGACCCCAGGTGCCGCTGGGGACTCTGGGGGAACCTTACCGACCTCAGGCGCCGCTGGAGTCCCCGTAACCACTGCTCGTCCGCCATCTTAGATTGCGATTCTCTTGACTTGCCACTTCGGGGCCACCGTCCCTACGACAGCAGCGTAAGCTACCGTTGGTGCGTGGCGTGCTCGACGCCGAAGCGGGTGACACGCCGAGACTCCCGCTGAGGTAAAGAGACCGCGGCTGAGGTGGAGAGACCAGAGGTCGCTATGGAAGACAAAGGGCACCTTGTAAAGGTCTATATGCTTAATGAAGACCAAGAGTGGGACAATATAGGCATCGGCTACGTCTCATTCACTTATGTGGAGCAGTTCGAGGGCGTGGCCATGCTGGTTCGATCTGAGTCGGACGACTCCGTGATCTTGGAGACAAAGATAAATACAAACGAGCCCTATCAGAAACAGCAAGGGACTTTAATTGTCTGGACTCATTCTGACAACCGTGATGTGGCGTTAAGTTTCCAGGACGAAGGAAGTTGCCACGAGATCTGGGAAGCCATTTGCCGGCTTCAAGGAAACCCGACCATCGAAATCACACAGGACCTGTTGGAAGAAGCCGGAGAGGAACCACCCGACGAAATGCTAGATCCCGGGAGTCTCATCGACCTGCCGAACTGTGAGCTCAATACGCTTGAACAGATTTCTGCCTTAGTTACCTCGGTTCTCACCTCGCCTAGACGTGAGGAAAGTCTGGCTGTGCTCTTGGAAAATGAGGACTATATTAAAAAGCTACTGCAGCTGTTCCACATTTGTGAGAACCTGCGGGATATGGAAGGCTTGCACTATTTGCATAAAATTATTAAAGGAATCTTATTCCTCAACAAGACCTCTCTGCTTGAGGTCCTTTTTTCGGAAGAGTGTATCATGGATGTGGTGGGATGCCTTGAATACGATCCTGCTTTGGCTCAGCCGCAAAGGCATCGGGAATTCCTGACCCAACATGCAAAGTTCAAGGAAGTTGTACCAATAACTGACTCTGAACTTAGGCAAAAAATACATCAGACGTACAGGGCACAGTACATTTACGACATCGTTTTGCCTGTGCCATCCCCGTTTGAAGAGAATGTTCTTTCCACTGTTATTGCTTTTATTTTCTTCAACAAGGTTGAGATAGTCAGCATGCTGCAGGAAGATGACAAATTTTTGTCTGACGTTTTTGCACAGCTAAGAGATAAGACTATCAGTGATGACAGACGGCGCGAATTGGTATTCTTTTTCAAGGAATTCTGTGAATTTTCTCAGAGTTTACAGCCTGAAAGCAAGGATGCACTATTCACGACACTGACAGAATTGGGAATTCTTCCTGCTCTTAAAATTGTAATGAGCGTGGATGATTTGCAAATAAGGTCAGCTGCTACTGATATATTCACTTATCTGTTGGAGCACAGTCCATCCATGATCCAAGAATTTATAATGGAGGAAGCCCAGCAGAGTGAAGATGGTAACCTTTTCATCAATTTAGTAATTGGACAAATGGTCTCTGATCCTGATCCTGAGCTAGGAGGTGCTGTTCGTTCAGTGGAACTTCTTCGTGCTCTGCTTAATCCAGACAACATGCTGGGGACACCTGGTAAATGTGAAAGAAGTGAATTTCTAAATTTCTTCTATAAACACTGTATGCATAACTTCATAGCACCACTTTTGGCCGCCACTTCAGAAGAGATTTGTGAAGAAAAGAATATAGCTGGATCTGACAAAAGCAACAAATATTGCTTCAATAATTATCAAACAGCACAGCTGCTTTCCTTAATTTTAGAGCTGCTCACATTTTGTGTGCAACATCACACATATCACATTAAAAGCTATATTTTCAGCAAGGACTTGCTAAGAAGAGTCTTGATCTTGATGAATTCAAAGCACACTTTCCTGGTCTTGTCTGCTGTTCGCTTTATGAGAAGCATGGTTGGCCTCCAAGATGAATTTTATAATGATTACATCATCAAGGGAAATTTATTTCAGCCGGTTGTAAATGTCTTTCTGGATAATGGAAATCGGTACAATATGTTGAATTCAGCAGTTATTGAACTGTTCGAATACATAAGAGAGGAAAATATCAAGCCTCTTGTTGCACATATAGTTGAAAAGTTTTACAAGGCATTTGAATCGATTGAATATGTTCAGACATTCAAAGGATTGAAGATTAACTATGAAAAAGAGAAAGACCAGCAGAGTCAAATACAGAAGAATTTACTTTCCACGCTGTTTCATAAAGTGTTTCACAGCAGTAGCAAAGTCCTGGAGGAGAAGGAAGAAATGTGTTTTAAAGAAAGTAAAGAGGAAGAAGAAGCAGTTAGGCCACCGTTGGAAGATGATTTTGAAGATCCTTCTGATAAGTTTGTGGAGACGACAAACCCAAAAGAAAATGAAGACAAGGTAGATCTTCCGAAAAGAACGTCTTCTGGCAACTTCAAGTTTACTTCATCCCATTCTGCGAGTATCCCAAGCAGTAGCAGCGTGATCCGCTTAGTGGATTATCCAGATGATGATGAAGAAGATACGGAAGAGGATACACCTCCTGGGAAAAGACCACATCTTAGCTAGTAAGATCTTTATGGGAGACCCTCAACATTATTAAATTCTGTGTTACTAAAATTTTGTTAACATCAATTAGCTGAAAAATCTTAATCTAAAAGCTTTCTCATGTGAATTTATAAGTATACAATAAGTAGTAAAGATGCTCTCTGTTATCACCTAGAAGGGTTTGGTTTCGTAAAAACCATACTTCCCAGAATCTTTTTTGAAAAAGCTAACCAGAACCTGAGCCATAACTTCTTAGCAAGAAAAGCCCTAGTTTGAGGGGAATAAACAGATTGATAATATAATATTAATTTTTTCTTTTGTTCTGTTACAGGGATATATTTCAGAAACAACTTTAACAGTGCAATTGCAAAGCTTATAACATTACTTGCCCGATAGTTCTAGCTATGGTTTTCTTTCCTTCAGTTGCTTTCTTTGAAATAAAAATTTATGTTTATGTTTATATGAAACACCAAGTCAATTGTACTAAGAAATAAAGTTAAGCTATTCGTATTTCTGTGAAGATTTAACAAAAATTTAAGCCTTATGCGTGATAACTTTGTGTTATTTCATGAATAAAATTGAAGTAACTTTGTGTGTTTCCATCAATAAAAAAGGAAGCTGGATTCAAAATGTGCAGTTGTTAATATGAATTTTTTTTTCAGATAAGAGATGCCAAAGATCCATCCAGTAGTATTCTAAAAAGGTGTTCTCTAGGACGTTGGGAGTGGGTAGAAGAGAATGCTTTCACCTGCCTCGATTGTGAAAGATGCTTGGAAGTCATTTCCTGATTCATTAATAGAGGTGTGTCTGTCTCCAGAGCACCAGGCCAGTTTTAAAGTGTCATTTACAAAGACTAACATACAAAAAATAGTGCTGAATGAAGTGGCACATGATATCTAGAAACCATTTTGAACCAAGAAAAATTTACTTAAGTGTAAAATTCCACCCGCAGTATGTTAAGTTTTTCCTATAAACAAACGAGGGGGTTTATATGACAGACTATGAAAGATGAAAGGTGCTTTATTAAAGAGTGAATGCAAATGAATTTCTGAGAATAAGTTGTAGCAAAGACTTAAGAGGTTTTATTTTTAAAGGAGCAAGTTAACTGGGTCCATTTGTCCTGGAAACGCTTCAATTGAAGTAGTTTCTCCTGTTCTGAGGTTTTTAGGGTTAACTTTAATTTTGACCATTGTTTGAACAAGATGGAACATCTGTGTAGATATTAAGTATAGTTTTCCATCAGACAGATATTTATTTTGTATTAAAAATACTACTGTACTTGTTTTGTACCGTTTGGTGATATTCATGCTGAACCATAAAATTCAGGAGTTAAAAAGTGACCCTCTAATTCCGAAAATAAGAGACTGTTTCTTTTTTAAACTTTTTTTACACTGCAAATTGATTTATTTAAAACAGTTACAAAAAAGTGCAACAAAATAGAGATTATCTTTAAGATTGTTAGTGCTTTGTTAAAGATCAGGTGGGATTAGGGGTAAGAAATGGTATTGAGTGGGGGGAGCACCTCCCTAGTTCTAAGGCTTTAGATACAATGCAGTTGATTACATATTAATTCAGCCATTACATACTGCGGATAGTATTTGGGGGATCAGTAATTTATCTACAGGGAACTCAAACACAAATCAGATTCATCCAGACCTCCCCAGCGCTGTCCTTCTCTACCCCTCAGGACCCTCAAGCCACCTGGATGACAACGTTCCCATGCTCCTTTCTCCACCCCATTCCCTATCTATATATTCTTCTCTCCCCTAAGGTGCTATGCAAGCTTCCAGAAATCTGCTCTCTGCAGCTGGAACATATATACTGTTTTGGCTTCAGGGATCCTCTGTATGACTAGGAAGATTGTAGGGGACAACCTTATTTTTATTTTTTATTTTTTTTTTTGAAGATTGGCACCTGAGCTAACATCTGTTGCCAATCTTCCCTTTTATTTTTTTCTTCTCCCCAAAGGCCCTCAGTACATAGGTGTATATTCTAGTAGTGGGTCCTTCTGGTTGTGCTATGTGGGATGCTGCCTCAGCATGGCCTGATGAGTGGTACGAGGTCCGCACCCAGGATCTGAACCATTGAAACCGTGGGCTGCCGAAGCGGAGCACGTGAACTTAACCACTCGGCCATGGGGCCGGCTCTAACAGCCTTATTCTTAACTTTAAGTTTACCTCAAGTACAGTCAGTGTCTTCCCCAACACGAGATTCTCTTTAATGTGAGTATCAAGCAAATAAGGAATGAACCCTGTCTTTAGCAATACCAGCAATGCATTAACCAGTCACAGCTCACAACTATGTGCAAACTCCCTGTCCAGGGAGTGGGTGTATAACCACTGTATCGTCAGCTCACTGGCTCACTCTCTCTGTCTCTCAAGGTGAAGAACTTCAGTCCCCATGACAGTCAAAGAAATGCTTGCAAGTTTGACAATAGGTAAAAGCACATGGGCTGCTGCCACACACACTGCAGACAGGAACCCAATTTGAGGCCATCTTCACTGCTGGGCATTTGCAGTAGAATGGCTTTGGGATCACACAGACCTTGAGTGTGCAGTCAACCGGGGGCGGATCTAGGCTCAACAGGAGAACTAATAAAGAAAGCTTACTGCGAAAAGTGCATTTATTGCTACTGTTCCTGCTGGGGAGGCTCAGCAGGGAAAACCGTGCCACCTCTCCTCCTTCTGCCCCAGGCACTGTGCATAATCTGTAGGTAAGCAGAGAGTGCAGTCGACTCTAGCATCTCAAGGAAGAAACCATTTTAAATGTACTGTTGTACCAATAGGAGACACACCTTGTGCAAAACTAAGAGACTGCTGCGTAAGAGCTGCAAAGAGTGTATTCGTAAAGCGGCAAAGAATCATTTCATCAGATATAAAGTCTGCTAATGCGTGGACATGACCTCAGGAGATTTAATCATAACATTGCTGAGGACATGACACAGCAGGACAATAGCATTTTCACATCTCTCCTGGCATGCTAGTTAAATGTCATAATGGGATTATTCATCTTGAGAGTGTATGTGAAAAAAGGCAGTTTGTTCGAAGAGCGTTTCATGTTCTTCTGGCTAGAGTGTCGTGGGAAATATTATCCATAGTACACACTATCTACTTACATACATCAAGTTTGGTTTTGAAAAAATATATGCTTAACTCTTCGTTTTGGTGGGAGTAGCCCTACTTCCTTAACAAAGCAGCTATTTACAACTAGACAGAAAAGAACAATTTTTTGATGCTCTTTCTGTTTATTCTCTTTCCTTCAGCTAGTTTTAATCAGCCATAGGAAATGGACACTGTGGGAGGAAAAAGATGAATATTTGCATTTCTTGCTCTACTGTCCCCAGTGAGTTTGTAAGAAAAGACGAAGGAGGACATAAGTGTAATGGAAAGTTAAAAAAAAAAAAAAGGAAAAGGAAAAAGAAGAAAACAAAAGAAAAGAAAAAAGGACAGGCATTCTATTGAGCTGTGTAACCTCTGTGAGCCCTTTTCTAGTCTCAGCTACTTAATGTTAGGGAAACAACATGACAAGCAAAATGGTGCAAAGGCAAATTGCCCATCAGATGACATAACCTACTATTAAGGAAACACTTAAGAGGGCAACAAAACACAGAAGAGCATTCTTTACTGTCTGCACACTGAGTGAAAAATTGACCAAAATGTTCAGTCTTTCTAGACACTGTGTGTGAGGAGATACCATGTCAAAAATGTTTAATTTCATCTTTAAGTTTTTTAAAAGTAGTTTTAAAAGGACCCATAAGTGGGTTATTTATGAAAAGAAGAAACAGTTTGGAATGGCCATGTATGTACAATAACATTCAGGTAAGCAATTTTGGAGAGGTGCCCTGGGTTCGGAAAGGTTTTGGCTTTAAATACATGACTTCCAGTAATTTTTATGGCTTAATGACCTTCTAAACACACCAAAAAGGGGAGGGTGATATAACAGATAAAACAAAAGCTTCATATTCAGACAGCCCTCGATGACAATGCCAGCTCTCACGTTTACCAGTTCCATGACCTAAGACAATTTACTTATTTTCTCCTCTAGCCACAATTCTTCCATCTTAAAAATTAAAAGTTATATGTAAATTCCCTAGCATATATTTAGTACTCAATAAATAGCTTTTAAAACTCATTATTATCAGCAGCAGCAGTATAATCATTTCCAAGAAGATGGGGGCTAAAGCCAGGTACAAGCACTTATATCACAAGTTATGGTCATAAATCCATAATTCGATATTCTGGATCAAACTGATAGCAACATGATAAATTAAAAATTAATGAGTTCAGTTCTGGTTTGCAGACAAGTCTATGTGTATGCATCGTGCCTTGCTGAGATACAACTGAAATAAAAAGCAGGAAAGTAGAAAGAAAAATAAACCTTCACTGCAATGAAGACACTTGGGTGGAGTGTTGTCTGGGGTTTTAACAAAGGAATGATAGATGTCCAGATGTCAAGAGTGAGGAGTGAAACAGAAATTAGAAAAGTAGGATGGAAGGTGGGGAGGGCATGGAAAATTTGTAAAAGTGACAAGAGTCGCTAAACCCTATTCCCCTCCTGCCTGACCCAGCAAGCAGAGCAGTCAACTAAAATGTATCCTTCGATAACAGACTAAATGTCCTTTCCCTAAAGCAATTGAAATAACAGGCAATGCTGAGGGCCCTGGTATAGAGGTTGTTGCCTCAGAATTAAGCCCTTCTCTTTAGGGTGTTAGAGGATCCAATATGCTGAAAGTTTACCACCCTAAGGCGCAAGTCACAATGTTTTCAGGAGAGAGACATGTTAATGCCTGGTTTCCACCCAAGAAGTACAATCTCGGGAGCACAAATAGTGCCCCTGGAAAGAAAGCCTTTACAATTGGCAGGTCCATCAGGCAGTACCTACATCAGTCAGGGAACACAAGTTGAGAATGCTTGTGGGTAAGCCTTAAGGTTCCCAGTTCAGTTGAATTAACTGAGCCAAGTCCTTGTTTTGGAGGATCTGCTAAGTGTAGTCAATCCAATCTCCTTTGTCCATGCCACTAACATGGTGGTGTGACCTTAGTCCACCCCATGAAATGACTGAGATTGGGAATGGGGATGACATCCAGAGATGTGTGTGCATGCATGCACGTGTGTGTGTGTGTGTGTGTGTGGCAGGAGCTGGGATCATCCCCTGCTTCTCCTGGTAGATGTCTCAGTAAGTTAGGGAAATGTAGTCAAAGCTATCTGGCTGGGGATCACAGACCCAGCAGTCAGGTAAATTGAAGGTGCTTGCAACAGTTTGGGAAAGCTGTACCAGGATGTTCTCCTTGGGGAGAAAGGCTCCAGAGGCAGTTCTTAAATACAAAGATTGTTAATGCTTCTTCCTCCCCTGTACAACCCTAGCGATATCAAACCTGCAGTGAGTTTGCTCACCTGTTGCACAGCAAGCCAATCTCTGACACTGGGCATAGTGGAAGAAAATAGCAATTTTATTATTGCACAGTGCTGAGCAAGGAGAGAGGGCAGCTAAAGCTGAAATTCCAAACTCCCTAAAAGGCTAAAAGGAAGGGTTTTTATTTGTGGTTTTAGGTAGGGGAAGGGGAACATATGGCCTTGCTGGTGGGAGCTTTCCCACCAGCCTGTCTTTGGCCTTGAGA